TGTGTTAAGCTAACTGAGACTTGTTATAGCACTTGTATATCATTGCTCTTTGGCTGATTTTGATTGCTTCCATTGTCCTCATTTGTAAGTCGCTTTGGATAAAAGCGTCTGCTAAATGACTAAATGTAAATGTAAAATATTACAGGTGTGCATCTTGACACAGAACAATGACACTGACATATTTGTGACCCTGGATCACAAAACCAGTCTTAAGTAGCACAGGTATATTTGTAGCAATAGCCAACAATACATTGTATGGGTCAAAATTATCTTATATATTTTTCTTTTATACCAAAAATCATTAGGATATTAAGTAAAGATCATGTTCCATGAAGATATTTTGTAAATTTCCTACCGTAAAATATATCAAAACTTAATTTTTGATTAGTAATATGCATTGCTAAGGACTTCATTTGGACAACTTTAAAGGTGATTTTCTCAATATTTAGATTTTTTTTTTTTTTTTTGCACCCTCGGATTCCAGATAGTACAAATTCTAATTTGTTGTATCTCAAATAGTCTAAATAGTAAAATTGTATCTATACAATTCAAATAGTTGTATCTCAGCCAAATATTGACCAATCCTAACAAACCATACATCAATGGAAAGCTTATTTATTCAGCTTGAAAAAATTGACCCTCGTGAGTTATGACTGGTTTTGTGGTCCAGGGTCACATTTTAAGAAATGTCAGAGCAAGATATTTTCAGTTGAGACAGCTCAAACATGCATTTTAGTCTGGGACTAGCTTAAGCCTTGTCTGTGAAACCGGGTGTATGTGTTTTTTCACAAGATTAATAAGGGAAGATCTGCTACACTGTAAAAACAAAACAAAAAAAAACAAGTAATAATGAAATAAATAAATGAAAATCCCAATTTTACGGAAAATACCTGATTTTTTCAGGGTTTTTATAGTCAAAACTCTGTAAAATTATCTCTAAATTAACTACTCATCTGTTATTTTAAGTATTATGACATTAATGACAAATTACAATAATTCACTTTTTTTATACAGACAAAAAATATTTTTAAAAACTTAAAGATATTTCCTGAATTACTATGATCAAACACCTTCATTGTTAAAGAAAGGTAACAAAAAAAAAAAAAGTAAAATGACTGGCAGCACAGGGTGCCAAACAAAAACCTTAAAATTAAAGTAAAATCTCCTTGTTTAAATAAGCTGACAACACTGTTAAATTACAGTTATTTCCTAAATTATGATCAAACATTCACTGTACAAAATAAATAAATAAAGTCACATGATGGTCAGCAACAGAACATGAAACACTAACAAACCTCTCTAGATCTCAGCATCTTTACTTATTACAATCCAGTCTGACTTTATTTATTTCATACAAAACGTCTTATTAAGAATTAACAGAGCTTTAAATGTTGAAGTTTTATTGTTTTTAAATTTTATTGTTTTATGTTTTAAAATGATAAAGTTTGGAGACGTGTTTAGTGTTTTTTGTCAGCTTTTGATACTTGACTTTTTGACATCAGTTTTTCTCCGATTGCTGTAACTGTGTGTTTCTAAAATATATTTGTTATAGAAAAACTTGTAGGAGAAGTTCTGATCAGATAAAGCTGGTTATTTGATGATGAGTCTTATGAGTATGTTAGCTGTTATTTTTGCATAATTTACAGCAGTCTTGTGATGTTATAACAGCAAGATGTTTTTTTTTTTCTTTTTAACAGAAAGTGTTTTGAACAGTATCATTTTTGACTCACACAAACATGAATCTCAACAATGGTGACAGTCAACAAAAAGCTTTTTTTTGTGAATTTAGTAGCTTGTTTTGTAATGTTCAGAGTTGATCTGACATCTGATGTCTGAGGCTACATGATCCTGTCCAAATAATTTCTTCACAATGATTTAAAAACCTTCAAAATATCAAAGCAGGACAGAATTTTATGCAGTAACATTCTAGAGCTACAATAATGTGAAATTAATGAGTCTAAATAATATACTCACAGATTATACTCTGGATGAGATCAGTGAATCAGGCCACTATATGTTGATTGAATCATCATAATCAATAACTAACCAACTTAAATCTAATCAGATTTTCTCTTGCAATCTTTGCTATAACAAATGTACTTGTAACAGAATTGCCAGGCTCCGTCACCTCTCAGTCACAACGTGCACCTTCTCCTGAGTACTAATCATCCGCACCTGATCTGGATTGATCTGCAATCACCTCACCACATACAGGTGCATCTCAATAAATTAGAATGTTGTGGAAAAGTTCATTTCAGTAATTCAACTCAAATTGTGAAACTCGTGTATTAAATATTTAATTAAATTGTGATGATTTTGGCTCACATTTAACAAAAACCCACCAATTCACTATCTCAACAAATTAGAATACTTCATAAGACCAATAAAAAAAACATTTTTAGTGAATTGTTGGCCTTCTGGAAAGTATGTTAATTTACTGTACATGTACTCAATACTTGGTAGGGGCTCCTTTTGCTTTAATTACTGCCTCAATTCGGCGTGGCATGGAGGTGATCAGTTTGTGGCACTGCTGAGGTGGTATGGAAGCCCAGGTTTCTTTGACAGTGGGCTTCAGCTCATCTGCATTTTTTGGTCTCTTGTTTCTCATTTTCCTCTTGACAATACCCCATAGATTCTCTATGGGGTTCAGGTCTGGTGAGTTTGCTGGCCAGTCAAGCACACCAACACAATGGTCATTTAACCAACTTGTGACAGTGGTGCTTTTGGCAGTGTGGGCAGGTGCCAAATCCTGCTGGAAAAAGAAATCAGCATCTTCAAAAAGCTGGTCAGCAGAAGGAAGCATGAAGTGCTCCAAAAGTTCTTGGTAAACGGGTGCAGTGACGTTGATTTTCACATTCTAATTTATTGAGATGCACCTGTATAAGTGCACACCTCTCACTCAGGGCTCAAACTGAGCTTCGGACTGCTTACCTGTGCTCCACGTGTTTCTCCCGCAATTCTCCAAGCCTGTGCTCTTTTGTTGTCTCCAGTGTTCCCCCGATCATTTCCTTGGATCCTCTGACCTGTGTGTGTGCTCCTTCCTGGATACTTACCAACCTCAAAGAGGTGTGCGCCCTATCCTCTGCCCCGTGTCCACAATCTCTCCACCATCTGCAAGGACAGTATCCCAGTCAATTCTCAGTATAATTTATTATCTGCTTCCTATATTGCTGTTAATAAACTGTTTGAACTGACCTCTGCTATCCTGAGTCCTTCTGTTACTGTACTTTAGAAACACAATTCCAGCAGCCAAACAAAAACATTTTTAAAACATCAAGGATCAAGAGCCCACATAAAGCAAACATTTATCTCCCAACAGCGACTTAAAACTTTATCATTTTCAATACAACATCAACATCTAAACCTCTGTTAATTCTCAATAAGAAGTTTTGTATGAAAGAAATAAAGTCAGACTGGATTGTAATACATAAATATGCTGATGTAGTTGTTGATACAGACATATTTACATTAGCCCATGTATGTGTGCTGATAGCTAATGGTTAACTGCAAGAGATTTACATTTTACAGAAAATGTTTCACAATAATATTCCAGGAAATACCTGTAAACGTCTCAGGTTACTTATGTAACCATGGTTCCCTGAGTAGGGAATGAGACACTGTGTCCTCTAGGGGTCGCTATGGGGAACGCCTCGTCGTGACTCGTGTCTGAAGCATACATTGAAAAAACACCAACTCGTTGGCCGGCGACAGCCATGACGTCACTACCGGTGCGACTATAGTATAAATAGGCGCCGGGAGCACACATCATTCACTTCTTCGTCTGAAGCTTGCGTCCGCAGCATGGCAAGAAACCTACAGGACGCAGTGTCTCGTTCCCTACTCAGGGAACTGTGGTTACATAAGTAACCTGAGACATTCCCTTTCATGGGAACTTCGAACTGCGTCCTCTAGGGGTCGCTATGGGGAACGGTATACCCATGCCACCATGCTGAGGGGAGTGCATGCCAGAACCATGGCGAGCACTGAAGACGAAGAAGAGAATGATGTGTGCTCCCGGCGCCTATTTATACTATAGTCGCACCAGTAGTGACGTCATGGCTGTCGCCGGCCAACGAGTTGGTGTTTTTTCAATGTATGCTTCAGACACGGGTCACGACGAGGCGTTCCCCATAGTGACCCCTAGAGGACGCAGTTCGAAGTTCCCATGAAAGGGAACTAACTCTTTTTTTTTTTGTAAAACATTTAAGAAAAATTTGAATATAAATTTGGATATTTTATCTTAATTTTACAGTTTTTGTTTGGCAGCTGCTTCTGCCAGTCATTTTTTTTTTTTTTTTTTACCATTATTTCCATTAATAGTAAATGTTTGGCACTCTGTGCTGCCATGTATTTTTTTTTTCTTTCTTTCTTTTTTTTTTTTAAACAGTGCACCGACGTTCGGCATGGAGAAAGGGAGAAGAGAAAAAAGTATAAGATTTTAAAAAATAATTGCACAACAGCAAAGTAGATATGCACTGCATATAGGGGGTTAATTTAACTAATTATTCACAGGTAATTTGGAACCAACATACCCAGATTAAACAAGATTCAGATTAATCAACTGAGAGGGTATATGTGATGGTATTTTAAATTTGCTTTCAATTAAGTAATGAATAAATAAAGAACAAATTTAAACAACACAAATATTTGCTCTATAGAAGCTAGAAGAAACACATCTTGCTATTTAAATTCTCAAATTAGATCCTTAGAGCTGTCACCACCAATCTCTATTCTTTTAAAAGTCTAAACCAGGAGTTCTCAATTCTGATCCTCAAAAGTCTTTCCTGCAGAGTTTAACTCTAACCTTAATCAAATATACCTGAACAGGCTAATCAGGAGCTTCAGAATTACTAGAAAGTTGCAGGCAAGTGAGTTTGATCAGGTTTGGAGTTAAACTCTGCAGTAAGAGTTGCGAACCCCTCTTCTTAACAATTCTAAACTCACAATAAAAGTTGGCATTGTTTGTAATTTTATGTAAGACATCAATATAGTCCCCAAACCTTCCCAAGCACCCACAGAAACACAATAATGGTGATTATGTAAAGAATGAAGAAGGTCACATCTATGATTCTTGCCACTCTGGTCCAGCACAGAGATGTCTTCTCTCGTTGGTTGTGTTGAGTTGCAGCCCGGCACTCAGAGAGGATCTGCTTTAGAAGGTCAAGGATACAAGATTGGTCTTCAGTCTGATCTCTAACTGAATCTGGAGGGCTCTGCAGGTCTCTGACACTGTCTATGAGAAGAAATACAAAACTTGGTTCCTGACAAATGCTATATTTCTTGTGTTTTGTATAATCTTATATACAGTTCCTTGATAGGCAATCTTTGCTGAGACTATTATAGAAAAAACAACTGAATTTCATCTGTGACTTTTAAAGGGGTGGATTCTGGAATCCATTGCAGCTTTAATATATATCCTTTCAAATGGTTTATTAAGTTGTTAATTAATATTATTCTTTGAAATATTAAATGATTGAAGGACTTCCCTATGTGACACTTGAATAGTATAGAATTACATGTCTTCAAGGGTTAGGTTGATGTGCTCTCTCCTTGGTTTGAGAAAAGCACCCAACAATTTAAAACATACATTTACTCTTCTGACTTACTATGTGTTCCTTCTACATTTTGTAAAGAGGATAACTATAAATAATGTCAAAATAATACTAATACATGCAAGGATTGTAAAAAATTTAAATTGAGCATTGTGCTGTTTGAAACAGATGTCATAACAAATGTCAGTAGACTGGGAAGACTTAACAAGCGGTTCATTCATAAATTTGTATGACCTTACATTCATGCCGTGGAAATACAGACGAAATACAGAAGACAACAAGCACAGCGCTGAAAAGAAGTGGAGCTACATATGGTCTATTTAGCCATTTAGTTCAATGTAAATTAATACATTAACTAACATTTACTAACTTGTACTTAAGGTAGTTGTTATTCATGCATGAATCCATTTGACTCCAGTAATTGTTTAGGGTAGCACTTGACATCTAAGAATCCAAATATATTCCTCATAATCAAATGCAGTGCCGATTCTTACCATCTCGGGCAGTAACAGCAGATGTAGTTTCCACTGATGCAACTGATATCCTCTCAGCTCCTCTAACCATCAGAAAATTGACAAGGATGGTCTCCAGAATGCTGATACCAATGAGACTGAAAATCACACTGCAGTACACCCCTGTGAAGACAGCAGACTATGACTGCAGCAGATTTGCTGCACTAAAATGCCCTTGAAACAACTCCTCTATGATGTATTCTAATGTGTCAGTGTATATATTCTGAATTGTCTTGTTTGTGTTTATGGCCCATAGACACAGATTAGAAAGTAAAATATTGATGCGTGTCAGTGTACTCAGAGACGAGAGACATCTGGATCCAAATGCAGTTAAATTTAAGAAGGAAAAAAAAAAGCAGAAATTCAGGATGCAAGGAACAAGAACTAAGAGCACAAGCACAACATCAATTAAACTCAACACCAGACTAAAAACACAGGAAGTATTATGGCTTACACATGAACTAATTAAACAAACAAAAGACTGGTGATAACAATCAATAAATAAGGGGATCACAGGAAACAAGAACTGAGCCAAATACAAACTAAGAGTCCTCATAATACAAGCACAGCAAATAATACATAACAATTGAAGTGGATTCATGTGCCATGTTCTATTAACCCTTTTTGACACACAAGTTTAAAATATTCTAAATAAGACCCCTGCATAGGTTTTTTTATTGCAACCATTATTTTATAATATCCCATGGCAACACATCAAGTTCAATTGTATGTGTAGAACACATGCATTGTCTTAGGCCAGGGGTGTCAATTTCATTTTAAATTAAAGGCGAGATTTGACTAAACATCCTTTTTGTCACAGTCTGTTCAGAGACTGTTATTTTGATTTCAGTTTCTTTTCATTGTTCTTCTTTTCTCATTTCTGGTGTTTAGTTCCTGTTTCCTTGGTTGCCTGTGCCTTATTTATTCCTCATTTAGTCTGTGTATTTATAGCCCGCAGTTTCAGTTGTTATTACGTTGGTTGGTCTTCCAAGTGTTTCCGGTATTTTTTATTTTTTATTTAATATTTTTATTTTAAAAATATTATTTTATTTTATTTTATTTTTATTTATATTTATTTATTTGACTTAAAATAATGCTTGCAATTATATCCATGCCTCAACTCTTCTTGACAACACCCAATCATCATAAGAATGGACCTACCATCAATCTACCAGGAGTGTAAATCCTCCTCCTCACCTGGGTGGATCGTTCAATCGAGGGCCATACACATGATCCTTAAGATCAAGCACATGTGGTATGCTACCCAGATAAGTCCCCAAGGGTGTAAAATACTTGAATCAAGTACAAATCCCCCAAAATAATACTTAAATACAGTAATCAATAAAATTACTCGATTACTGTACTTAAGTATTATTTTGGGGGATTTGTACTTTACTCAAGTACAATTTAAACTGACTGGGGTTTGGGGGGATTATCTGATATTACTGATATTTTCTGATATTACTAGAGTTCCTACCCACCCTAGTGCCCACCCTGGAATTTCTTCCTCCTCCACCGGTCATTGTTCTATCCAGTTCCCTGGCTCATCCTCCTGCTCTGCTGACACACCTTAGCCCCCCGACTCCACCAGCATGACCTCTGTCTCCAGGCCAGCCAAGTCCACCATAGTCTTCAGAGATAGAGCCTAGGCGTTCCAACCCTCTGGCTCTGCCTTGGCCCTCCATCCCCTCGGCTCCAATGTTGTCCTTTTTCCAACCTGCTCCACTTTGATCTTCCTCCACTGGCTCTGCAGGGGTATCTTCCTCTGCCAACTCATCCATTGTCATCTCCTACACAGGCTCCCTGTGGTCTTCATTGCCCTAGTGTGGGAATCTACTCCACTTCTGTGGCTCAGGTAGTTACGTCGCTTGCACTAGTGCACCCAAATAAATGTATATTGACTCATTTTGAGTGGGAGTGACTGTCAAACATGCCCAAAAGTCAGTTTTGACTGGGCAACTTGTAGATCTTGAGCCGTGAACTGTTTCAAACGGTTCAGTCTGATTTTGTGAACTGGTTCATCCAGTCCACTAATAGAGCCAGTTCAAAATAAAGATTTGGTCACGAATCGACATCACTCTGGACAGATTGCCTGAGGCTATGGATTACATGTAATAATGTTGTAAATAATGTTCCATTTTTTTTGCAGTGATTGATTGTTTCGCTTCCTAAGACCTCAATATATCGTTGGGAGCTGTGGGTATTAATTTTGTGTTGCCTGATATTCTTTTTTGTCTCTCGTAGTGATGGTAGCCATTGTCTTGCATTGTATGAATCAACATGGACCACAATTTCAGCTAAAAATCTTCCTAATTGTTCTACTGAAGACAAAAAAAGTCACCTACATTTTGGATGGCCTGAGGGTGAGTAAATTAACAGCAAATTTTAATTTTTGGATGAACTGTCCCTTTAAAACAGGGATCTTCAAATCTGGCTCGCTAGCTCCAACCCTGATCAAACTCACCTACCTGTGATTTTCTAATGATCTTGAAGACACTGATTAGCATTCTCAGGTGTGTTTGGTTAGGGTTAGAGCTAAAATCTGCAGGACAGTGGATCTCGTGAGCCAGATTTGAGGATCCCTGCTTTAAGGAACTGAAAGTGTATCTGTTGTGTCCACTAGAGGGTGGAAAAGCACTGTTTATGAAAAAGAAAGACTGTTCTGTGATCACAATGCATGTCTGATTGAGCTATGCGCATTTGGTTCTGCCTAGTTCTGTGTGTGTGTTAGAGAGTTACAGAGGAATAGTAAACAGAGAGTTGTTCACCGCATTTCTGGCCTGGTTGTTTATTCGACACCACATTTTGGAGACAAGGATGGCTGATTTTTCTCTACCACCGCCACCGCTCTTCCTCGCTCTTCCAGGCGAACCTCCTATTCTGTGGCCCCGTTGGCTGCAATCTTTTGAGACATATCTCATCGCAGCCGGCCTCACAGAGGTGAGTGCGGCACAAAAAAAAGCACTTCTCCATCACTGTCTAGGGGCAGAAGGACAGCGAGTGCTCGGAACAATCAGCGACAGTGGTGAAAACACTAATGAACAGTCTGTGATGGCCCTGAATGAACATTTCGCCGCTCCACAGAGCGTTTTGCTGTGGGGGTTCATATTCCGCCGGCGCCATCAACTCCCTGGTTAGTCCGTGCATCAGTATGTGGCCAATCTGAGAGGGCTAGCAAATTCTTGTAAATTCGGAGGGCTGCGTGACGAAATGATCTGCGATCAGCTGATTGAACACACCAATGATAGCAAAATTAGAGAAACCCTGCTGTTACAACCAGATGACTTGACGCTATCTAGGGCAATTGCAGTAGCATTTCAAGTGGAAAGTGCTGCTGAATGTGTGGCCACTCTGACAAATCAAAATAAGTCAACACACAGCCAATTGACATTTATGGAAACAACTTCACCAGCCCAGCAGCCACCCGACCGGGGTGCAGAAGAGGCTGCAGACGCCCCTGACTCCGTAATGCAACTCACACAGCAACAGCATAGACGACCACATCAACAACAGCCCTGTATTAATTGTGGGTCTCGTTCTCATTTCACCAGAGCCCAGAACTGTCCGGCCCAGGGCCAGACATGCCATAACTGTGGAAAACAAAATAATTTTGCTAGTGTCTGCCGTTCAGCCCCAAATAAACCACAGATGCGTAGCAGTCAGTCTCCACCTGCCATCATCCACAACGTAACTTCAGGTCTTGTGCCATTCAGATCATGCACTGTCACCCTGAATGATGTGAGTGTTCCACTGCTTTTGGATATGGGGGCCAGTGTATCTCTGCTCAATGCAAGCACTTACAGTCAATTCTTCAGCGTGTTTCATTGTTCACCGCGCTGGGGTTCGCCCTAGTGGACATGGAGTGGGCTGCTATCATGGCTGTGACCGCAATATGGCAGCAACAGCGGCCAACGCTGTTTGATGGGCTGGGCTGCCTCACCTCATTTATGCACCAGCCTCTCATTGACCATACTGTCAGTCCTGTCATTCAGCCTCTACGCCGTATTTCCCTGGCCCTGCGTGAAGGGGTGTCAACGGAACTACAGCGCCTGCGGCAAGGAGGCATCATTGAGCAGGTGGATGCGTCGCCCTGGGTCTCAAACCTGGTGGTGGCCACTAAAAAATCTGGTGCTCTGCCCATCTGCGTGGACTTGAGGCAAGTCAATAAGGCAGTTATTCCAGATAAGTACCCGCTACCAGCGACGGAGGAACTCACAGCTCAATTCTATGGCTCCACAGTTTTTTCTAAGCTGGACCTAAGAGAAGGCTATCTGCAGGTGCCCCTTCATGCTGACAGCAGAAATCTGATGACTGTTGTGACACATGAGGGAGTATTTCGTTATACTAGGATGCCTTTCGGCCTTAGCTCCGCCCCTTCCTGTTTCCAAAAGGTTATGATCTCTGTGCTATCGGGGATACCAGGTGTTGTCATCTACCTTGACGACATTGTCGTGCATGGGCCCACAACGCACACTCATAATGAGCGCCTCAACAGGGTTTTTGATGCACTCAGCAAGCACAGGCTAACTTAAAATGGTGAAAAAATTATTTTTGCTGTACCTGTCATCGAGTTTGTGGGGTTCAAGTTGTCAGCACAGGACATTTCCCCACTCCAGTCTAATGTGGATGCCATTCAGTCCATCCCTGAACCGACTTCACCTGCCCAGGTGGCTTCCTTTCTAGGGATGACGGGCTACTACTTAAAAGTTTCTGCCTCAGTATTCAGCCACTACTGCCCTGCTGCGGCAATTACTCCGGAAGGATGAGCCCTGGGTGTGGACGCAGGCATGTACGGAGGCTGTGCGCACTCTCAAGGCCCAACTCCCTTCACCTCCCATACTTTCACACTTCAGCACCTCCTGTAAAACCATGGTCACCTGCGATGCATCCGCCACAGCCATCGGAGCCATATTGTCACAGGTACAGAAGGGTGTAGAAAGGCCCATAGCCTTTGCCTCTAGGGCCCTTAACCCAACAGAGCAACGATATTCAATGGGTGAACGGGAAGCGCTGGCATGTCTATGGGCATGCGAAAGATGGCACCTGTACTTGTATGGCCGCCATTTCACTCTGAGGACGGATCATCATGGCTTAGTGGCACTGCTGGCGATGTCAGGAACAGGGCACAGACCACTGAGACTACACCGCTGGTATGACCGGCTCCGTCAGTATAACTACAGCCTTCAGTTCACACCGGGTCGTGAAAACGTGGTGGCTGACCTTTTGTCTCGCTCTGTCCCAGCTCCGGAAATAACAGAAGACATTAGCCCTGAAACAGACATCATCCAGCTGCTACACACACCTCTGCAGTGTGTGGTATCACTACAGGAGCTTAAAACTGCATCAGAGCAGGACTCGGGTATCTTCTCTCTGCTCCACACTTATATCCGAGAAGGCTGGCCCCTACATGTCTCAGAAGAGCTAAAGCCATTTGCCCGCATCAAAGATGAACTATCTTGCTGGAATGACACATGTGTGGCACGTGGGCTTAGTACTGTGGTCCCGGGGCCCCTTCGTGCACGTGTGCTCGAAATGGCGCACGAGGGGCACCTGGGAATAGTGAAGCTCAAACAGCGTTGCCGGGATAGAGTCTGGTGGCCGGGCATAGACAGAGAAATCAAACTTTTAGTTAAAGACTGTCCAGCCTGTCTTGTTAGTGGAAAAACAGGTAACCCACCTCCCCCGCCCCTCCGACCCCTGGCCTGGTCTACTCGTCCTTGGCAGCACCTTCAGATGGATATCTGCGGTGAATTTCACGGGGTTCCCCACAACTAGCGATACCTGGTGGTAGCATATGATTTGCACTCCAAATGGCCAGAACTAATCACGACCGGCTCAGTCACCACTCAAGTCATTGTGAACTTTCTGGACTCGCTGTTCTCCCGTTTGGGCCTTCCACAAACTGTTATAATGGATAACGGCCCTCAGTTCGTCTCTGTGGACTTCTCCTCTTACCTGGAGAACAAGGGTATCCAACACATCTGCACCACTCTTTACCACTCCCAGGCCAATGGGGGAGTGGAACGTTTCCACCAGTCTTTGAAAAATGGCCTTAGGGCACACCTGGCACAAGGGTGCTCTTTCAACCAAGCCATAAAAAAGAAAGACTGTTCTGTAATCACAATGCATGCCTGATTGAGCTATGCACATTTGGTTCTGCCTAGTTCTGTGTGTGTGTTAGAGAGTTACAGAGGAATAGTAAACAGAGAGTTGTTCACCACATTTTTGGCCTGGTTGTTTATTCTACACCACAGTATCTTCGGCTTCTTCATTTTATGGATGCACAGTAACCACTGCTTCTGATCCAGTATTACTTATTTTACTTCTGTCAGCTCGCATTAAATGTTAAATTTGTTCAACTTATTGTTATTCATTATTGTAATTTAACTATTATTAGATTCCTATGTTCAGCTTTTTTTTTAGGTTTAATGCATACTATGCATACTTCCTATGATGTGTTGTTAACTCATTTGAGCTTCAAATTAAATTATAGGATTTCATTTTTAACAAATTAAGCCATGATGATCATGTTCAAGTTAGACTCACCAATCAGTGGGATTTTATCAGCTGTAGAGGGCAGTGTGTCATTAAGAATCAGCAGCATCACAGAAATAGACAGGAGTAAAGTCACTTTAAAGCTCAGTTTGTCTGCTTTATTTGCATCTATGAAGAAGGAGGTCACATCCAGCACGAGGAAGAAAAATATTGGTAGCATGAAATTGATGAGATAAAGTAGAGGTCTCCTCTTGATGGTAATCTGTCACGTAAAAACAGAAACTGTCTGATTTTTTCCCCCTAATGTCAACACAATATTATTGCAAAGTTTACAATTTAATTGTCAAGTGTAAATTCTATGTTAATCAGTGGGTGGTACTCAAGAGGAGATACTTAGTTCCCACACCAGGAGAATACAGAGGTTGAAAGGGAGACCATCATTATTCTAAAAGTTCATTCCAAACAGATTTTGTCAAATGCTCTAAAAGTATTTGTCATGTTCAATTCTTTCTTTCAACCTATGTGTGCCCCCTAGTGTAGTGTCTAAACACTACCCACTGATTAACAAAATGTACATGTTGAGTTTGAAAAAGAAAAAGGAAATTGTAAAAAAAAAAGACAAATGGAAAAAATACATTCTCATTGTGCTGTGCATGTTATACAAACCAGAATATTTAAATTAAAGCAATATGTTGAATAAAAACTGTAAGTGTATTATTTGAGTAATGTGTTGGATAATGGCAATAATAATAATAATAATAATAATAAAACATTTTTTTTAAATGTTTTTATACTCTTGACCTTTAAGGGTCCAAATTCTTTTTATTTTTTAATTTAATCATTTATGTATTTCGGCACATATTTTGCTAGTTGGTTTGATCATTTTTATTTATTTTTACTGTATATTTATTGTTTCACACGCCATAACCTGTGCTCTGTACCTGATATATCAGCTGATTCTTGACACCCCATATGAAAGTGGCATTATAGTTAATCATATTTATACTGAGGAGTTCCCACTCTCCCTGGGCCTGAAAGGTCTGCTTCGACGCGAGAGTTAACCATACGGAACCATACAATGTGTATATTGTAAGCTCCTTAACTGTGGGAACAGACATTACAGTTAAAGTAAGCATGCTATTGATTATTATGTATGTGTTTGTCAACACTGAATTATGGATTTCATATGTACCTGAATGCGCTGAAGACTGAAGCGTTAGATTGCAGCTTTGGATGTCGAAGGGAAACCTGTACAGGTCCATCTTACAGGCTGTGGTCAGAGTTAAAACGTCAGATGAGACTGTATAGCCATAACTGATCAACTGCACATATGGAAACTCCTTTGTTCCAGACTCTGTCTTGATGCTAAATGGACAAAACATAAAGTACCGATGACTGGAGACAATGGGTATTCAAATCAGAGATGCAAGAATAAAAATTAAGATTTTTGTGTTTGTAAAAATTATGATTCATTTTGTTGTAGTTATGCCCTAGCGCATATAGTGCCCAGGTAAGGGTATTAAAGACAGTGGTGTGAATAAACCTGGTAGTATCTCACAAATGCATGAGGAGAAGCCAAACTTGCAGCAGCACAGTCCTGCAATGAGACTCCTCTAAACAGAGCATCGGGTAGAGTCAAGTCAAGTCTCTTTAAAATTCAGATTATGTCAAAGCAGCTTCACAGAGATAAACTGGAAAAATAGCAGGATCAATTATGGAAACTCCGCTCCGCAGGGTCATGTTGCACCCAGCCCTACTGGTCCACCAGCCGCCCTGGCGTTTTCTCCTATCCGGCTTGGGGGTCTCTTTGGTGGATGTTGTTGATGCTGATGAACGGTGATGAGGTGGATGACGAGGTGGTATCTTGCTAGGGTTGATTACAGGACACTTCTTGGTTTTCACCCCACATGACTTGCAGTCCTCGACGAACCTTAAGACGTCGCTGCAGATCGTGGGCCACCAGGCAACTTCCAGGATCTGCAGGAGGGTCTTTAGCCGCCCATGATGTTTCTCTGCTGTCCTCTGGTGGAAGTGCTGTACCGTCTGCTGGACCACAATCTTAGGAATGATGAGCTACCGGGCCTCACAGCATAGCACCACTGGGGTCTCCCCAGCCTTCCTAATGTTGGGCAGGGAACTCATTTTGCCGCTGGACAGACTCTGCCCTCTAAATCCAAGGGACACCCCCCTGGGGTTAAAACTCACGTCACTCGCCAGCAGCGCCGGATGAAACGGAGATTTGACAGACTCAGACGTGCCAAAGAACCAGATATCGCAGTTCAAGATTGGGTGAGAGTGCACAGACCACACAAGAGGAATAAACTGGCCTCGTTCTGGTCTACCCCCTTGTTGGTTACTCGTCAGATAGGCAGGGCATCTTATCTCCTGGAGGATGGTTCTCGATGGCACTCTAGTCATCTTTGTAAAGTAGCTGCACCTACCCCAGTCTGCCCACAAAGCAGTGGAAATCTGCCACATACCTTCCCCATGATGTTTCTCTGCTGTCCTCTGGTGGAAGTGCTGTACCGTCTGCTGGACCACAATCTTAGGAATGATGAGCTGGACCTTGTTGTTGGCATTCCCCTTCTGGATTCGCCGATACAGCAAGCCCTGGTGTTCCCACACTTCGATCCGGTTGGTCGGTGGAGTGGAGGGGGAGATGGAAAGTTTCTGGAGAGTGTCGTCATCGCCCAGCGCGCAGCTGAGTTGCTCTCTGGAGAAGGGAAGGATGGAGAAGATGATGTCGAAGTCTGGCCCCATTGGAGTGGTGGTGCAGAATTCTCCATCAGTTGCACTGTTGATAGTCTGTGAAGTGGTTGAGGCACTGGGATTGTTGGCCGGAGGAAAGCCAGGGGTCGACGTGGGAGGCACTGGGCTGATCATCGCAGTGGGAGGGGAGATGGCAGCTTCTGGATGGGTCTGAATGACCTGCTGCTGATAAGGCTGAATGTTACATATGGTGGCCCATACGGGGAATGTGAAACAATTTTAAATGCTGTTTTGAGAGGAGTGTTTTAAGATGACGACAAACCAAGTTAATGCTGCTTCTTTTAATAAATCTGCTGGTTTTAATGATGAACAGGTTTTACATCACTGTGAGTGTGTACAGCTACATGCTGATGTGGTTGCTCTTAAAAATCCTGTTTTGAAATTGGAGAAGCATTTTAAAGACTGTTGAAAGTAATCTTAACCGTGAAGTGTATTTTAGAGAGGCTGTAGATTTAAAATTTGGTAAAATGGAGGAATCTATCAAGGATGCCAAAGGAGCGAAACTACTTTGTTTGGTCTTCCAAAAGAGGACGATATCTGCTTCGTCTTGCCTGGCGCTGATCCGTGCTGGTTGCTGAGGAAATACTACAACTTTGCGCTGTCGATCGCTGGATCGGCTTTCACCGTGGACGAAGCGGAGTCCAGCCCGGTGTAACATCAAAAAATTATTAATCTATATTTAATTTATAAAGTGAAGATTATGCAGTTATTTTACATTTGATTATTACATGTCTGTAGCGTACCTAAAAATTATTTTAGACTCAGCTGAAAAACCTGAAAAGCACTGTTTATTGAACTTGTGTCTTTGTTGTATTGTATTTATTTTCTGCTATTGCTTGTAATTTGGTTATCTGTAGAAAAGACTTTTAGCACTGAACCCATAGTAGCAGCTAGAATTTTGTTTTTTCCAATTGTTTATTTTCTTTATTATTTGAAAAGAAAAGAAAATGTGTAGGCCTATTTTTTTTGTGAATGTCCCAATTAAGGTACAGGATGTGAACATTTCAGATAAATGTTCATGTTATATATTTTGGTTGCATTTGTGAGTTAATAAAAATGTAGATGGTTGTTTAAAATAGATATATAATATCATAATATCGACATATCGATCGATATACTCTTGTATCGAATCGAATTGTAATCGTATCGTATAATTTTTTTGAGGTATCGGCAAATATCATATCGCTGGGTATGAGAATCGATATCGTATCGTATCATGACGAAACATCCCATTTACACCCCTAGTAGTAAGTAGGGCTGTCAAAATGTTTTTTTTTTATTTCAAATATTTGTCGAATTTAAAATAAAAATCCACATTTCACACTCTCCCAAAATACCGGATCTGTCTGGACGAAACGCCTATACAATACAAAATGTATGCGTATACAGCTAAACGCGATTCCGTTTGGCCTTCGACTGTGGCTGTAAGTCACTTGTAGTTGTGTTTCTCTTTTTTTCTGTTCTTGTTCATCCTTCATTCAGTGATTCTGTTTATGAACAGAAGGTGCTCAATCAGCACTTAATTAATCACTTAATTACTGTATCTCATTAACTGAAACATTGCTTCAGTGTTACTTTAACGCTCTGAGTGGACTTATTTCAAAACTTAAAAAGTTGTTAACCTAACACTGCGGAATTTGCTGTGTATTAGTCATATTATAGGGACCATGTATAAATGGCCCTAGCATTCTTCATAGTGGCAATAACACATAAGCGGAGCCCCACTGGGTTTAAGATTCTGGGTTTAAGTATCTGTGAAACGGTGACAGATTTTCTTTTTCATATCAAGACATCATATGCCTAATTAAAAAAAAAAAACAGCTAAGACATCCTTGCTCATAATGAAAGAAAAATAAATAAATAATGTAATGTAATGTAAAATATATAAAAGTTCTGACATGTGTTTTTTATACCTTTCTACTATACCAATGTCTGGAGTCCAAAACATTTCTTTTGGGACTGCTAATGTCTCCATTCCACAAAACTCCTCTTCATCCCACGCCACATTCCTATTTGACCAAGCCTGGAAAGTGATGAATATAAAGTTTAAAGTAATTCTGAGATGCTTGTTATTTTGTTAACTGAGTAAAACCAAAAAAAAAAAAATGTTTTAAAAACACTTACAGTCATCATTTTGACCTGTGTCGAGAAGCTCTGTGCTTTTTCATTCTATAGATAAAAAGAAGCGTTGATTGATAAAACTACATCTGCTTGAAATCCCAAAATGATCTAAATGAGAATGTAAATCATGCAGGACTCATACCACTTCTATGATGGAGGTCACATACAGGTCCACATAAACACGGGTCACGGGGCCCCAGGACAAAGGCCGCATGTGGGTCATCTGAACACCATTCTTGTCCAAGCCAAGTTGTTGAAAAAGTGCCTCATAAGCCACAGTATAATCTGTATGATTACAGTTTTCAGCCGCAGAGACCCCTACTGTGCAGATGAGACTTTCTGTTACATACCAGAATATATTCCCCAATCAGGCCATACTTTAAATACCATGTGCATAAAATGTAAGACAAATGTATTGGCATGTTACAAACAAGACTGAAAAAACTGACTGAACAAATGAAGACATTATACATATTTTAGGGGGGTGTTTACATGAAACTGTTTTGAAACTAAAAATTGAAAACAGAAAACTTTTTATGCATTTTGGCTGTTCATTTACACAACAACGGCATTTTGGGGCCCTGAAAATGCAAGCTGTTGAAAACAAGTTTCAAAGTGCAAGTTTATGAAAATGAATATAGTGTCCGTGTAAACTACAAAAAAGCAGATTTGAGAATGGTGACATTATGTGCATGCGTATTACTTATTCAGTCTATAGGTGCGCAGGTGTGTAGTGTTTCTTTACAAAGTAACATCGCCACCTACTGGCATGTAATGCATAATACAGGGTTTTTAATAATTTTCGTGGATCAGTGTGAACGGGGATCGCTTCTGACGCCATTGTCATGAAAAACGCCAGAAAAACATTTCTGTTTTTACATCGTCATGTATCATGCATCATAAATGTACCCTAGATCTAGACACACAACCCAAATACTGTGGATAATGCCTATGAATGCTTCACTGTAGAATGTTAAATGCTGTAAATAATAGACTACTTCTAATAAAACATCTCCTGATATAATGATTCTAAACGCTTCATTTAGATCTTCTAAAATAGGTCTACTCAAAGAGCATTTTAGTTGTACTCAATTTCAGGATTTATCACTCAGTAAGTCTTATTTATTCATTTATTTATTAATCGAGAAGCAAGATGAACTCATATAATTGACATGATTTTAAAGATGAATTGTAGCATTATTAAAATTAGACCTATAGTGTATATTAATAAACAAACAAACAAAGATACCAATATGAAAGCTGATACAATGTTTTAGAGCAGAGCATACTTATATTTACAATACTAATTACTTGTTTTTTTTTTTTGGTGATTATTAATTTCTTAATTAACTAATGAATTTCATAATTATAAAACTATTAGATTTTTCAAGCCTTGAAATATAAATTTTATTTTAATCATGAGGAATTCCATGATATTTCCAGGTTGTCTTTGACCGTGGAAACTTATAAACAAATTTCTCAACATTAAAGTAACATAATCTATTTCCATTCAGTTTCCTCGAGGTCTAATATGCAACAGAGAAAATCAATATTAAATAGAAAATTATAATTTAACATAGAGTTTAACGTAAAGTTTAAAATAATTATTTTTCTGTCAAGCCAAGCGGTGAAAAAGGGGCTCTTTTAACAATAAATCACCATCGAATATGGTGTTTATGATGATTTCACGGTGTTTAAAATAAGGATGGCTTTTTGACAGCACTAAATCCATCCTAAACGCCATCAAATACTGCATTTTGGATGTAAATGTGATTCATTCCAACCCTTTGGGCTTGCCGTACATTTCAAACATGATGACATTGACAACTTTATTACACCACTGAGGCAGTTCATGAGAATGTCGGGCTTTATCTTGGCATTGTGCAAAATATTTGCAGCGTCAAAACAGAGGTCATATTAGATAATTGTTTTACAATTTTTATTATATAGCTTACCTTAGAAAGCAAAAATACAGAGGTCCGGACCTTGGTGACGTCAATGGTGGGTAAGGCCATGAATGTGTTATTAAGGGAATAAAAGGAATCATGTGCTAATTAAGTTGTTAAGGCTTTTGATATTATTTGTATTAATATTTGTATATATTTTGTGTCATTAATGTAAAATGCTAAATCAACTATTTAAAATTATTAACTGAGAAGAATCCCAGTAAAATAGATTCCATTTGTTTCCGTGACTTATAAACCTACATATGTATATTTACATATTTAATTTCCCATATTTTAATTGAAGATATGTAATAGTCTAATAGCAACACCATGAGAACTGTCCTCACAATTTTCAGACATGTGGCCCTCAAAAGCAAACATACGTTCACCTGACACCTTTCTGTGGTATAACCAATGTTTTTAATGAACTTTAAATTCATAAGATCATTAAAAAATATGATAAAAACTAAATATGAAAACTACAGTATGTTACAATTAGAACTATAAACTTTACAATAAGGCTTTATATGTTAACATTACTAATGCAATTGCTAATAATTTTACAGCATTTATTAATGCAGGTTCATGCTGATTTCTCCATTTACTAGTAAGACATGTTTAAGAATTCATGTTGTATAAATTAAGGGTATCATACAATCAATCAATCAATCAATCAATCAATCAACATAAACCTAAATTAATTAATGCACAAAAAAGTCCTGTCATTGTTCATTTGTCATTCCTAATACATTAAGGTTAATAAATTAAACCTCATTGTAAATTGTTTCAAATAGAATTTCGTTTTTTAACATGTACTTACAGACTGAAGTGACAGCAAATATTAGCCAGTGTAGGTACATGTTCAGTAAATCCCAACTGCCTCGAATATTTTAGCTAAAGCATGAGTATTCACTCTTGAACAGATATCGGTCATTTGGCCATATTTAAGCACTGTGAGAAACATGCCCCACCTCCAAAATATGGCCCAAATATTTTATTTATGGTAAGGTTAACAACACCTGTTAACACATATCACAGAAAGTAATTATAATGCCTTAAAATATAGTCAAATATTTGTGTAAACATATAACTACTCTTAAAACAATCCTCTTTGCAGCTTTTCTACTTATATATGAGTAAATATGAGATGACACTCCTGCAGGGAGAGAAAGACCACCGCTTACAGATGACCAAAGTAATTATCTGTTGTTTATTCATATTGCTAAAGGGCAACATACCTGTCAGTTTAATATAATACATGAGCTTTCAAAAGTCTGAATGTTCAAATATTGGCAAAAGATTGGCAGGTGTGCATTGTCTAATGCCCAGCAGTTCATCACTAGTAAAAGTTATAGGAAAACAGTGACTGAAGACAGGACATACAAACAAACAATAAAACCAGAAAAACGAGGGAGCTCCAAACTGATGCGGCCATCTGTGGAGCCTTCTGTCCTGTTCATTAACTTTTTTTTTTTTTATCTTTTATCGTTTTTTTTTTTTTTTTACTTTATTTGTTAGAACAAATTTTCTATTTTTAGTCATTCTTGAGACGTGGGACAAAACAGGTCCAGCAAGGGTAACTGCTATTAGCTTTAAAAATTAAAAATATTTTCAATTTTAAATTTCATGAGGGATTAATAATAGAATGTATTTAACACAATTATCACCTTCAATGTAATTTTCTCATTATTATACCAAATCTGTTTCTTAATGTCCTCTCACTACGTCTAAAACAGTGTGTCCACAGAGAAGGGTTCAATCATGCATATGCAATAAAATGGATAAAAATGTTTTTTAATGATGAAAAAGAGCTTGTTTTATCAAAAGCAACACTTAATAATATCTCTTTTTCAATTTTGCACCCTGTTTTGTCCCACTTCTCAAGAATGAGAGGAAGCAAGACAAAAACAACAACAACAGCTAACTACAACCGTTACATGAGTTCTCGCAAGGAATCAGCAACCATGTGGTAAGCAGAAATGTGGAATGATTTTGAGGATCTAGTCATTTCCCATTTGTTGAATAACAATCCCATTTCCTCCATTATTTTTCCTCTTTGTCCTTCTGTAACTGAAGGGAGAAGGTCACATAGCATATTTGACTGACAATACTAAGACACAATACTATACAAGACTGATAATAAGATCCAAATTGGGTTTCTCTTGAGCTAACATTTATTGACATAATTTTTTTAAAGTTCTTGAAGAGGTAATTATCCCTTTTACAAAAACCATTCTGGAGTACCTGAACTCCAAGTACACAGAAGACTGTGTGGATGAGCTGTTGAGTTTGGCATCCACACTTGACCCCCGGTTTAAAAACCACTACAATAACGATGACAGGATCAAAGCCACTGGGACAGCAGTGACGGCAGAACTCATGGCTATGGTAACAGAGGAAGACAGCCCTATATACTAAGCACTTGTCTACTTACATGACGTATTTTCTGTATTTGGCTCAAGTGTCCAGGTGTATGTAAAACGTCTCAGGTTACTTATGTAACCATGGTTCCCTGAGTAGGGAACGAGAGACTGCGCCCTCTCGCGGCGGGTCCTGAACCGCGGGAAGCAGATGGTTGGCCCTCTTTACTCGAAAAGAGAGACAAACGAGAACTGAGCTTTTTCATTGGAAAAAACTCACAATGCGCGCAGATTTCCCCCGCGAGGACATCACGTGCGTGCTCTTCGCCCAAACAAACAACACATAGATCGTGTGTGTCATCTGGTGTCAAATAGCGATGGCATGGATGCACACACCTTCTAAATGCTGTGCTAGTGCTCGCCATAATGAAAGAAATAGCTCTTACTTTTTCCTTGGAATGCACGCTTCAAACAGAATAGTCAATGAAGACGAAGAAGAGAATGATGTGTGCTCCCGGCGCCTATTTATACTATAGTCGCACCGGTAGTGACGTCATGGCTGTCGCCGGCCAACGAGTTGGTGTTTTTTCAATGTATGCTTCAGACACGGGTCACGATGAGGCGTTCCCCATAGCGACCCCTAGAGGACGCAGTTCGAAGTTCCCATGAAAGGGAACTATTAATTACCCGATGGGACAAACTACATCATAGCATCTTGTTGATCATGTTATAAAAATGCAAAGTTTTTACGGAGCTTTATTTACACATTTTATTTTTCAGTATTTATATTAAAATAAACATCCAAATGTAAATGCAAAAGTTCCTATGTAACTGAAGTTCCTGTGTTTGTTATTAAGTGATAAAAAGCAGTTGCAAAAGTTTTACAAAACACGCACATTCATCTCTGCACCAATACAGTGTGCACTTTATGGTTTACTGCCAAATTATGCATAATACATAATGTCAGCTCCTGAACATGATAACTGATGGGATATTACTTGTTTCGCTTCCGTTTCAGTTTTTATAACCATTTCTTACTATGTGTAAGTTGTTGTTTTTTAGCATGTAAGTTTGGCAGTGTTATTTTGTAGGATTACTGATAAACTACTGTCATTTGATTTGTATTATTTGTATTTGTTATTTATTTTAATTTTAGTTAAATGATGTCTGAATTTATTATGTCTGTATAGGTCTTTTATTAAGTTTTATTTAATTTGAGTTATTTTAATACTTCAAACCAAATGGAAACGAAATATATTGAGTAAGTCGCTTTGGATAAAAGCGTCTAATAAATGACTAAATAAATAAATATGCTTAGCCTCAAATACTGCTCCGATGCTGTAAATATGCATAAAATGACCAACTGACAGACATCAGTTTAAGAGTGAATTCTTTATTCTATAAAATAAGTATCTCAGACAGTTCTTTCACCTTTATTTTCTACAGCAGTCTTAGCAAACCTTTAGAGTCCTCAGTTCAAGTTCTCTGCCTTTGGCAAGGACTAGGGCATAATGATGCTCACTTTGAATGGTATTTACCCAAGATAAACAATTTTGCAGATAAGTTGAGAGAACTATTTCAAAACTTCAGTAATATAAATGCAGTGATAATCATATTAAATGATAAAAAGGGTTAGTGATCTTAGTCAAGTAAACTATCAGTAAAATATAAAAGTAAAATATGCACGGAGTGGACTAACCTGTGATGCAGAGCATGCAATGTGTTATTTTACTCTCTTCTTAACTCCATGAGGCTGTATCAAATTAATGATGCATTTTCCGGGCAGAATAATTAAAATGGCTTGATTCATACAATCAGTTAAGTTCAAATTAGTAAAGATTGTAATGCTCATTTACAAATATGAAATATGGCATTCATGTTTTTAATATTACCATTTGCAACACCACAGCCCAGAACTTAGATATCTACTGTAAGCAATTTATCTTAGATAAAAGCTGATTAGATATGATCAGGAAATCTCTAGCATTGTCTAGAGTTTATCACATTTTCCAGAATTATAAAAGAGACATATGCAGAGTCATTTACTGAATTATTCAAATACACAGCAACAGAAAAGTTACATGGCTTTTGTGCACAATAAATGCATTGTATCAAATAAGTACAGTTAAAGACGCTTAATATAAAGTGAGTCCACTTTTATTCAGCAATTAACTTCTGCTTACTAAATCAAATCAATATGTGGTGTGACCAGGAAAACACCTAGGAACACTTGTGAACACTCTCTGCTGTCAGGTTTGCATCTCTCACTCCTAGGCCCTGTTTAAGAAGCATTTTCATTGATCTGATCACAAGTGGACAACACTAAATACTGTTGTAAGCGGTGTCTAAAATATTTTGAGCTTCACCGGATTGCTTTATTGTAAAAGCTCATGTGGTCGAACGCATCTGAACACCCGCCTCCTCTCTGCCTACTGACCTAATTGTTGTTAAGTGCACTAGCTAGACGGGATTTAAACTTTGCGATTTGAAACCATGCTTCAAGTTTGAAATCAAAAAAAAAAAAAAGTAAAAAGCACAATGTTCTCTTACAACTCCTGATTCTATAACACAAACCCACAGCGTTCGGCGTACTTTTCAAAAGCTGATGTTTTCTGTATTGTTTTCCATTTTCTCTTTTTGTGCAAGCTTATTTTGCAATGGACAAAAGAGACAGATTTAAAACACCAGGCGTAAACGGGATTGTGTCTTCCTCTCATCTGCTTGTGATCGGGTCGACCAAAACGCATCTTAATACCAGGTGTAAATAGGGCCTTAGATCCATCTTTGAGCAACTGATGTTATGTATTTCTGAACTGGCTTCTTATTGTTTGATTATGCAGTTAGCATAATACATTATTAATTCCAGTGGAATAAGTTGCCACAAATCTGTGTCAAGGATAGGTCAAATTTAAGGCCATGAATAAATACAGCATGGGGCACATCACCTGAGACATGATGATTTCTATTACTGACTTAGCAAGTTGTATTAACGTGGCTAAGCAAACTACATTTTTTGTTGTTGTGATCAAGCAGTTGGCAGACGAACTTAAAGATATTAGTTAACCCTGCATCTTCTCACTATGACCAGACACCACAATCCAGCCAGCATAAGACGCTGTGTGACAGCAGGTACCTAAAGAATAAATAATTGACGTGTAAGGTAATACAAAAATAATTAAATATCCATAATAATATCCATGACATAATATCTCTCCAATTGATTTTAGCAGGATTTTTTTATTAATGTCTATATAAACTATGTACAAACTGTAAATTACAGTTAGTATTGTGTGGCATTTCATGTATACGAGACATCAGTATGAAACCCAGCTTTTCCCAAGCATGGTCAGAAACACAATAATGGTCATTAAATAAAGAACCAAGAAGGTCACATCTATGATTCTTGCCACTCGAATCCAGCACAGTGATCTCTGCATCCCATTCTGATCTCTAACTGAGTCTGGGGAGTTGTGCAGGTCTCTTACAATATCTATAAGAGGGAATACAAAACATGTCTGCTCTGAATAAACACTATATGTAGTGTGGTCTACATTATCCCATATATACAATTCTTCAATGAAGAATAATTGCTGACACTTTCATAGAAAAAGTAGAAGAATAATAAAAACAAATAAAACAAAAAAATAGATAGCATGTGATTTTGATGTGGTTTATTCAAAGGTCAATTGTATTTGCTTTCCTTTCTCCTGTGTACCAGAATGACAAAGCAAGCAAATCTTAAACTTAATTCCACTAATAAACCTTAATTTGAGAACTGAAAGTATAAGATAAGAAAAAAAAATCACATAATCGGATGCTGTCTTGACTCTTACCATCTCGGCCACTAACAGCAGCTGTGTTTTCCACTGATCTCTTCTCGGCTCCTTTAGCCATCAGGAAAGACACAAGGATGGTCTCCAGAATGCTGAAACCAATGAGACTGAAAATCACACTGCAGTAAATGCCTGTGAAGAGAACAAACTATGATGGAAACAGCTGAATTGCCTTTGAAATAACATTTTTTGTTTGTTTAAATCATGTGTTGGAAGTGGAGGCATGTGGTATTTTTCTACAGTTCTTTTTTTTTTTTCGTGTTAAAAAATACTTTCTCATTCCATAAATATAGAGACAACTATAAGTAAGTCATTAGTTGGTTGCTATCCTTAAAAAGTGTAAACACTCTGGCTCTGTGACCCTCTCCAATAATTGCTTAAAGGGGACATCAGATGCCCATTTTACACAAGTTGGTATGATTCTTTAGGGACTTTGATCTACAATCTTTACTAATTTGAACTTAACTGATTGTATGAAATGCCGGTAACATACTTTGGTTAAAATTCATCAACGTTAGTATAAAACAACACCCTTTTTACCTTGTCAAAAACAGCTCTGTTCACAACGACCCGTTTCAGTGCATGTCTCTTTAAATGATAATGAGCTACTGCTCACCCCACCCATATCTTAAGGGCTTTTCGCACCACTTTAGTTCCAGAACTAAATGTACAGTACTAAAGTACTGGGACGATTTTGCGCAAACTATTTCCCAGTACCATTTAAAGGGTTGCATTCGCACCGACAGTGTGTCGGTCGACAGCGAGGTCATTTGTGCACGGCGTTCAACAACAGAAACAAAGAAGAACAACATTAACAACAGGAGGATGGAGTGGTACTATGAAAAGGTTCCTGCGGTGCGAAAGGCCCTTTACATGGGGTGTGTCGACACAAGACACGTGAATATGGTTCAGTCCGTATATGGCTCGGAGGTGGTCTTATTTAAATAGCTAGCTAGCTACATAGAAACCTGCTGCAAATTGAAAAGCTCGCTGGATGACAGAGTTTCAGACTCAGACAGCCCATAATAAACTGGCTGCATGTTTTCTTTTCAGCTTTTCTGAGCTGGCAGACATGCCAGAAACCTGACTGAATGCAAGAAAAGCTAAAAAAAGAAGAAGAAAAAAAAGAAAATTTCATCCAATGTCCCCTTTAAATACTACTTAAAGAATGTCCTTAAATGTTCATGGTAAGTGCAACTGACTCACCTATTTTTTATTTCATAGGAAAAAAAAAATTCTCTGTGCTCTAGGTTAAATGCCTAATTCGAACCATCCAGCTTATAGATTGCATTTTTAACTAATTAAGACATGATGAGCATGTCAGTGTTAGACTCACCAATCAATGGGATTGCATTAGCTGTAGAGGGCAGCGTGTCGTTAAGAATCAGCAGCAAAACAGAAATAGACAGCAGTAAAGTCACTTTAAAGCTCAGCTTGTCTGCTCCACTTGCGTCAATGAAGAACGACATCACATCCAGCACAAGGAAGAAAAATACTGGTATTATAATGTTTATGACATACAGTAGAGGTCTCCTCTTGATGGTGATCTGCCATGGACAAACAGAAAATGTATAAACAATACAGCAGTGAAACCAAATCAGTATTGAAATCAAGAGCAATTGTGTTAACAGTTTTGTTTACGGAATAATACAAATTAAAATGAGAGAAATTAATTCAACATTAATTAATTATAATAAAGGCAGAGCCGTATTGGCCATTTTATTGCCACAGAATGTGTGAAAAGTATGTGCCAAAATTTAAAAGCTTTGGTTAGAAGTGCCAGCTTGCATGGAGAGGTTGTTGGGACTCCAGAGACACCAGCAACTTCAAATACCGGTCTTTTTAATACAAATTGCATGAGAACTGTGACTTGCTTAATAATGTGGAACAATCTCTTTAAGAAGACCTGGCAAACTATTTAAGAAACCTCTCTGAGATTGATGGCAGTTATCTAAAAAAAATATGAAAACATCAAACTATTTCCTTTATAATACATAATAATTTGGAACACAGTGTATAGTTTTCGGTAGATATACTGTAGATATAATGAAGTCTCTTATGACCACCATGGCAGTATTTATTTGATTAAAAATACAGTAGGCTAATATTGTGAAAGATTATTACAATTTGAAATAACTATTTTCTATTTGAATATATTTTAAAATGCTTTTCCCCCCTGTGATGCTATGCTGAATTTTCAGCATCATTACTCCAATCTTCAGTGTCACATTAAGTCAGACATGTTGCTTTCCATAATGCCTTTCCATAGCCAACATGCACTGGTCAGACACTGATCATTCTGCGCAGCACTGCATGAAGTCAAACACACCAACAGAATCTCTCAATGTGCTGGTCACTGCTGATGTTACACTTTCAGGTGCATATACTCCAGAGATAATTAAAGGGATAGTTCACCCAAAAATGAAAACGGTGCTTAAACAAGGCACAGCACATGCGTGTTCAACTTAAGCGGCAGCACGTGCATGCGTTGTTTACATTTAGAGGAGAGCAAGTGCATGTGTGGTGATACTCTCCATAATGGTGGCACGCCATGGCAGACGGGATGAGGAGGAGACAAATTGATGAATAAAGTCATTATTTTTTGTTTTCTTTGCACACAAAAAGTATTCTTGTAGCTTCGCAAAATTACGGTTGAACCACTGATGTCACATGGACTATTTTATCGATGTCCTTACTACGTTCTGGGCCTGGGAACATTTCAGCTGTGTTGCTGTCTATGGAGGGTCAAAGAACTCTCGGATTTCATCAAAAATATCTTAACTTGTGTTCCGAAGATGAATGAAGGTCTTACAGGTTTGGAATGACATGAGGGTGAGTAATTAATGACAGAATTTTCATTTTTGGGTGATCTATGCTTGACGTCAAACAAAGGTTGGGTTTTTACTTTCAACCAAAATTTGACATCTGAGCAACATATGAGTCCATATCCAATGCCCAATGGGAAGCTTCCTGCTAAAATCTTTATAAGAATTTTAGGGGATAATGTTCAAATGTTATCAATAAACATTTTTAGAATGTGTTTAGAGAATGTTATCCTACATTTTAGGAGAATATTCTGGGAACAAAAATAAAACTTGCCACTGAAAACATTACCAAAACACAGAATAATGTTCTCAGAACATTCTTAGAACAATAACATTTCTAGCTGGCGTTTTGTGAAATCTAGTCCTACTCTGCAGCTTGCTGCATGAGAAAGTAAAGAAAACCCACACATATGCAAGGATCCTGACAGAGAATCATATTATTAAAGTATCCTCTTGAGTCCCACCAGTGGCGTAACATAGTAATGATGAGCCCCAGTGCAGGCTATTACGACAGGCCCCCCTGGGCTGCACGGTTATGAAGCACATACAAACAAATTTTTGCCTAACCTACTTAATTTAGACCAACTAAAACCAGTACCTTATCAGTTTCTTATATTAAATTGAACCGTTCTCTTTGTGTGCGTCTCTCTCCAACACGCACAATGCGGCTGTGTATGCGCCTGGCCGCAGCAGCTAGAAGTACCAAATTAATCGTGTTGGATTTCACAGTTGTCAGCATGTGTTACTGTCACAGCTCGCCTACTGTGGCGAAAACGAGGAGACGAAGGAGCGCGGAAACCAACGGGATAAACATCAACAGTTTTTATTCTTTTAAACAACGGGGAACATAGGCAAGATCACACACGTAGACTGAGGGGTTGACGAACAATTCCGGACGCCGTACATGGAAACACGCAGGGACTAATCAAGGGACTAATCACGGAAATTAATGGGACACAGCTGAAACTAATGGAACTCAAATAGGAACAGGAAAACCAAAAATGGGCATAATCATGAAAACTGGAACACGTGGGGGAGGAAAACACAACACGAGACATGGACAGAGTCTGACATTTACTCCCCCCTCCCGGAAGGCACGTCCCGCACCGTATAACATCCAATGAGGAGGGGGGGTGGGCGCTCTGGAGGCCTCTAGGGACAGGGTTACTGGACGGAAGGCCTCCAGGGTGGTGCCCATTCCAGGACCCATGGCAGATCTGGCAGTTCAGGAGGCCATGACGGATCAGGGGACTCAGGAGGCCATGGTGGAGCTGGGAATTCAGGGGGCCATGGCGGAGCAGGGAACTCAGGGGGCCATGGCAGAGCAGCTTCCGAGGCTGCGGCCCCAGCCCCCACCTCTACGGCTGGATCTCTACTGGACATTGGAGTGAGCTCCGGGGCTGGAGCCGACACTGGAGCGACAGGAGCCCTCCCTGGGCTCGACTCAGAGACAGGAGCCCTCACTGGGCTAAACTTGGGGACGGGAGCCCTCACTGGGCTAAACTAGGGGACAGGAGCCCTCCGTGGGCTATACTCGGGAACTGGAGCCCTCCGTGAGCTATAATCGGGAACTGGAGCCATCCATGGGCTATACTTGGGAACAGGGGCCCACGCAGGAGTGAGCTCTGGGGCTGGAGCCAATACTGGAGCGAGCTCTGGGGCTGGGGCCGACACCGGACCGAGCTCTAGGGCTGGAGCCGACACTGGAGCGAGCTCTGGGGCTAGAACCGACTGCCTTTTTCTCCTCAGGTTTCTTCTTTGGTTACGGGTGAATTGGGCGGCCGGTGTCCCCAACACCCTCACCACTTTTTGCAACATCTCGCGGCACGCACGGTCACAGAAACATCTCCATTCGATAAGAAATTAATTGGTCTGTGTTAAATAACAGGCAATCTATCGCTGGAATGTGTTATGGCGAGTGCTCGTTGCTGCTGTTATTAGTTCTCTCTTGGCACTCGTGCACAATGCACAGTCTTCACACAGACGATCGAGTGCTTCGTTCTGGTAAAAGCACAAAATGAACACTTTTGGTTTTAATGAGGAAAAAAAACTATATGAGGGTGAATTAGAACCCAGAACCTCAGAAATGCGTGACAAAAATTCTGCCACTAGACCATTAAAGCACACAAATAATATGTGCAAATTTATATATTAATTCACTACTGTTAAGAATCTCGGCAGTAATTATATTGTATTATTAATATTTATATTTATATTGATATAGTCACTTCGTCGCCAGGGGCCCGATTGCGATGTGGGCAGTGCCTGCGTGCGTAGCGGGCCACCCTGCCGCACGGGCCCCACGGGTCTGTAGTTACACCACTGAGTCCCAACCACTGATAAACACAAAATTTGCATGTTGACTGTAAAAATGAAAAAAATAACTAAATAAAAGCCATCATTAAAATAAATAAAAAAAAAATCCATCAAAAAATGTTATTATTTTTATTTTTAATCAAACTTTGGCATTTAATCTTTACATGTTATTTTTCTGATATAAATTGTAAAATTTAAAATAAAAGCAATTTTTTTTAAAGAAAAACATGTTTGTGCAGGATGTGCGGGAATTTTGTATACCCCACCCTTTTAAAGGTTAAAATGAAAATCAAATTATTTAGTTCTGGCACATGTTTTGCACACTCTCGGTGGTAACGAATGGCCAGATGGCCCGGCTTTTTTAGCATTCTAGTTATACATTTAATTTTAATAATTAATCTTGCATGCATTGTATACTCTGTGTTCTGTACCTTGTATATCAGCAGATCCTGTAAATAATCTAGAAGAGTGGCATTAGATTTAGAAGCATCTATACTGAGGAGTTCCCACTCTCCCTGAGCTTGAAAGAACTCCTTGGATTCATGCGTAATGTTTTTATTATCAGAAAATGGATCGATGGTAAGCTCATCAACTGTGAGAAAACAGACAATAAACAATTTTCTTAATTAATTTTTTTACAATTAATTTATATAAAAATATTATGTTTTGTCTTGGATTTTAGATGTACTTGAATGCACTGCAGAGTGAAGTGTTATATTGCAGATTTGGGTGTCGAAGGGAAATCTGTAGAGGTCCATCTTACAAGCAGTGGTCAGAGCTAAAATATCAACTGAGACTGACAGGTCCCACCAGAGCAACTGCAAATATGGAGACTCCTTTGTTCCAAACTCTGTTTTGATGCTAAACAAACAACAACAACAAACTGTAATACTGATCGTTACTGACATAATTAAAAAGACAAAGCATAATTAGAGGGCTATACACATTTAATGTAATTTGTACAGACTACTGAAAATCATTTATGTGAAAACTAGAGCTAAAATGTTTTAGAGATATGTAAGGATTTGTTCAGACAAGCAACAAAAAGCATTTCATTTGGCTGGCGTGATGTTTCCGAACAACGTGCACTAGGCGGATAGTGAATCACAACACACTGGGCCAGCTAACCAATCTTTGCAAATTTCTGAGGGAGGGGCTTCATAGAACCAGGAACTCAAAAGACCGTTTCAGGAGACCGGAAAAAGCGGTGTATAATAAAAGTAAAATATGTGAAAAAATTATGAGATTTAAAAAAACAAAAACAAAGAATGAACATGTTACAGTGCACCCCATAAACACAATCAAGCCTTCGAAAATAGCCGGTCGACCACCCCTTTAAAATAACACTGAAGCAGTAATAGATTTAATGAGATTATAAAGGAATGACTGAGCATTAGTGAAAGGCAGTGGTTGCTGCATTTGAGCACTAGACCCTTGAGTGCTTTGTTATTTGTTATTTATTTATTTTTTATTTTTTGGCTGTCGTAGCTAGTTGTTGTATTAGTGTTTTCAGAAAAACCTTTTTTTACATCAGAAAAAGTCGTCTTCTTCTTCTTTTTTTAACAGCGTTTGGCATCCATCTTATTGGTATATTACTGACCCCTTCTGTTCTGGAGTGTGGATCAGTAAGTAAGTTCACAATCTATTTCTACTATAAATTAGGGATAGAGGGGGAGGAGAAGAAACCCCCCCCCCC